GAACTCACGGACCGTGAGATCATGACCTGAGCCGAAGTCGGACGCTTAACCGACCGAGCCACCCAGGCGCCCCTAAAATGGCATTCTCTACGTGGTGGTCTCTTGAAACGTATCCACACTCACCTTTGCGTCCGCAGATGATCCATCCATCCCTGTCTCTGTTTTCCGTCAGCAGTGGTCACGGCCACATGCCACACAGCACACCCACAGAGCCAGTCCTGTTTGAAACCAGGTGGGGGAGCGATTTCCCCTAAATTGTGAGCCGTTAGGCGACAGGGACTGTGTCCTATTTACCCGTGTCTCGGCAGCAGCTGACGCGCGCTAGGTCCTCCATGAACGCGCATTCTGTCGTCCGAGGGATGTTTTGAGTGGATAAAATCTGCTGTCTCGGGGTGGCGGGGTCTCCTGCGGAAGGGGAGTTGTGTATCCCCGTTTCTTCCTCTTCTGTGTTTGTGTATTTTCCTGTGTGTGTGTGTAATCGTTGCCTCCTCTGGGCTCCCGTTGTGATCATGGTCTGCACGGCTCGTGTGGTCTGATACTTACCCTGTTACCTACACGGCCCGTCTTTACAGTTAAGTCACCCCTTTCTCAGATGGCGGGAGCTATGTGCTGGGTCACCAGCATAAAGTCCGTGCTAGCTGGTGTGTCTGTTTCAGCAGGGCGATTGTGCCCCTGTTATGCATAGCCTGCTCCTGCAGACGAGGCCACTGATGCCAGCCCTTTCCTGTGGTGGCATCGTACTGACCGGGGGTACAGATATCTGCCTGGCATAAGGGGGTGTTTGGGGAGCTGGTAGTCTGAAAGGGCTCATGGGAAATCAAGACAGAAACCATAATCACTGCCTTTTAGTGCCGATACCGCCCAGGCATGGTGACCTCTACCTGGGTTAGGGTTAAGGTTACGGTTAGGGTTAGGGTTAGGGGTCCCCCCGGGACCAGCAGCAGACACATCTTGGACGACTGAGGACTGAATACTGTGTCTGTGTGTCCTCCCATAACTCTGTGCATCAAAGGGCCCGTGAAAGCAAGCCAGTTCCCTCTGTGGTTGTGTATACCTGCTTCTTGAATCTCACTGTGTGATCTCCTCCTTGTTTAGGGCTCTGGCCGACATCTTAAGACAACAGGGACCAATCCCCATAGCACACTGTGAAAGAGAAACTATCTCAGCTATCAATACCTCTCCCAAAGAGAACACACCGGTCAGATCGTCCTCCAAAAACCACTACACCCCCGTGCGTACGGCCAAGCAGACTCCAGGTAAGCGAGCGCTGATCGCCTTGTGTCTTTGCTGGGGGCTGGTGAGAGGTTTCGGTGATGTGTTGTCCCGGTGGGGCAGGTGGCAGTACGTGTGCCGTGGGAGATTCTACTGGGCAGGCGGGCTTGCGGATGAGTCCTGGGACCGTCTCCTGGGGAGGGACTGACGCGTCAGGACTGGAGGAGAGCAGCGGTCCAGGGCATCCGTGATTGCGTGAGCGGCCGGCATCTTCTCTTGCCTGAAAGGCAGCTTGTGGTGGGCGTGGTAGAGAGTGGTCACCCACTTGCCCACGTGGCGAGAAGGTTTACCTTGTCCAGGATGCCAGGTATGTGACGAGAAATTGCTACAGTCATTTGTAGAGATTTCAACTACTGGAGTCTCAGAGGGTAGGGATTATGACTGTATTACGGGGTGACTTTTCCCTGTGCCTGGTAGATTCCCCGGATATGTGACAGTTGCCGTATCATGGCGGTCATCGCTGTAACCCCATGAAGGAAACTAAGTGGGGTGTATTTTCCTTGTCGTATGGATCAACGAAGGAAGCTCAAAGAAATTTAGTGACGTGCGCACCGTCAGTAAGATGTTACTACTAATAAAATACCACCGATACAGTCAAATAACTCACATTTATTCAAGGGCCTTGTTCTGAGCCAACTGATAGGCTGAGCATTTTACGTGTATTTTCTTATTCTTCACAGCAGTCTGAAAAGTACTTCTATTGTCCCCATTTTGTCTGAAGAACAGAAAGGTTCAGTAATTTTCCCAAGGACACGGGGAGAAAGAAAGCCGGGCTCCAAACCAAGGCATATAGGTAACAAGTGTCAGGACTAGAAAACCCAGAAATCCTAACGAACCCAGCTGGGCTCATGAGTCCGAAGTATCTGGTAGGATAGTCTCTTTATAAGTGCAGCTGGGCAAGTCATTTCTCATCGTGATCATGACCGGACAGCCTCGTGCTGACCCCGGTCTGCAGCACAGCTTCCACGTTGACACTTGGATCAGAAATCTGGATGTCTCTCCCCCTATGGCTTTCCAGAGGATGGGATGTTTGGTCTGAACTTCACCTGCAATAAAGATATACAGGCACTAGGGGGCAGTAGGTATGTTGCAAATTCAAAATGTGCTGCCAGGGTCAGTTTATTTTCCCTTCATTCTTGAACTTTGCTACGTTTGTTAAATCAGAAATCACATCCTTGCCTTTAAGGTAAGAGAGTTCGGTCTTTTGAGAATCTGATGAAAGTTAAGGACGTTCTCCTTCAGAACTATTCATTATGTATATATATATACGCACACACACCTATGTATTCATCCAGCATTTTGAATACGATTTGGACCCTTGCAAAGTTAGAAATCCCTGATTTAAAAGTAAAGATGAGAACTCTACTTCTGCAAAAAGTCTGAGATGGCATTTTTAGCCTTGATATCCATTGTAGATGCTTAAAATGTAGGCAGTAGAAGGAATCTTGGCAAAAACATCTGGACCAGTAGTTCTAGCTGGATATTAGGATCACCTAGAAGCTCTTAAAAATGCCGGTGCCCACGCCCCACAAATTAACCTGAATTCCTTAGGGAAGCTGCTGGCATCATTACTTTCAAAATCCTTCCCGCGGTGATTCTAACACGCAAATCGGGTGAAGAGACCATTGGTCCGGATGGATTCCTTGTTTTATAGGTGAAGATACTGATTCTCAAACTTGGCTGCCTGTTGGCATTACCTAGGGAGCTCTCACGAGGAGGGATACCTGGGTCCCACCCCCTGGAGATTGTGATCTAATTGACGTGGGAGTGTGGCCTGAGTGTGAGAGGCCGGACGCTGAGTGTTGAAGTCTTGTCGGGTGATTCGATCGTGGAGCAAAGTTCGAGAATCGCTGGGTGGTGGGAATTGCCTAAAGGTACAGTTCTAACCAAGCCTTCTCTTCACTGATCGCTGTTTAATCTAACCTTGGTATCACGTCTAGCTTTGAGGAGGGTATTTTTTTTCCCCGAAGACTCATGGTTTGAGGTCAGGTTTCTCCAGGACCTCGTTTGCCATCCTGGAACTTCAGGTCACGCCAGTATCCAGAACACCCCTGGAAGTTTACCTCACCCCACTCTGATTTTCTCTGTCTCATTCAGCAGCCTGCTTGTTCCCAGCCACTGAGTCCAGACTGATTAAGTGGACGGTCCCGCTTTCCTCTTGAATGCGTTTCGCTGGGCAGGGAAGATTTGTCATTTTCTTCTGGTTTCTGCGTATATCCTCTCCCGCTAATCCCAGGAGGAAAGCTTACAGTTGGGGGATCCCCTTGTGTGTTTGGAGAAATCCCACCCTGTAGTTTTCAAAGTGGAACTCTTCACTTGGCCTTGAGAGATGGGAATTGTTTCCCTGGTCCAGAGAGCGCTCTCGGTAGCGGTAACACTTAAATTCGGAAGCAATTTCATGACCCTCAATGCCTGTAGCTTATAATGGACAGAACCGCTTTTCCAAAATGACTGATGATATCCTTTGCCGCAGAATAGTGCAGTTTGAGTAGGAGTTGAAACAGAATTTTACCGAAGTGTTCCAAGCGGAGATTTCCTGTGATTTTTGCCACTGTGGAATCAACAAACCACTGATCGGAAGAGTATGGTGGTGGACGTATCAGAGCGTGTGAGCAGTTTTGCTACTTGAAGCGAGGTCCGTGGGCCAGCCGTGTCAGCATGGCCAGGGGGTTTGGTGCAAATGCAGTGTCGCAGGC